CAATACGTTAAGTGCTAAGTTGTTTTGCTATTCGATGCGTGGAATCTGTGAAATCGGAGTGGGAAAGTCCACGTTTTTAAAGCTTAAGCTGTAGCCTAATGTGTACATTGACGTTCTCTTATTGTGTATTTTATAACTTGGGTTATAGTTGCTAGCTGATGTTTGACGTCAGAATATAATCTTAGAGCCATTCTTAACGCCCAGCAAATGCACTGATTATCTTTTTTGTTTTGAACGTTGATGATTGCTGTTTTAACTGCCAGTTCTTCAGGTAATGGAGTGTAAGTCGCTCCTACTGGGTAATAGTGTGCCACGTTGATATAAAACTTAACGACTTTATCAAATACCCTGCCAGAGCCTTGTTGTTTGTAAGCTTTGATGTCTGTTATATATTATAAACACCGATTTTAGTTTCTTCCAGTTTTTCTAATTTCAGCTGGACTTTGATCGAAGTCTGTAATTTGGGTGTTGAAGACCCTAGAAATTCTTTGTGAACAGTGATTGCTACCGCTGGGTAGCTGATAACTCACTGCGACATACTGGAGTAAATAAATGATGGAAAAGATGCACAGAGGAGATGCACAGTTCTCTTCAATAGCCATCAGGAGTCAGCGAGTGATCCCCACAGATACGCTCAAAAATTCTGAATCGGCGGGTGGTTATTTGGCATAAGTCAGATGTTTTTAAAGTCAGTTATGACATTTTGAGGTTCCGGTAGTAGAGAACAAATACCCAAAATACGAACTGCGATTAGTCGTAGTGGTTCCTAGTCCTCTGGACCAGCCAGTTTCTTTCAGTTTTCTTGTCACATATTTTTGGAGAATTTGAGTTAGTTAGTGATTCTGTTTATTGTTAAGAGAGGCACTTTGAGGATGTAAAGACGTATACATGGCATTATGAAAATGAATGTCATTGTTGAATTGAAATTGAATTAAAGCAGATTTTCTGTATCATTGGAATATCAGAACAAACACTAAATTATCAAAATTTAAAGGAACCTGGAAAAAGAAATATTTTACTAAAGCCCCTTGAAATTGCATCTCTGAGTTTCAATTAACCTCATTTTAAATTTTTGTTTTTGCAATTTTAACCCACATTCTGATGCATATTGGGTTTTTATGCTAATACATATTTGCATATTCATGAGCAGAACTACGATGTCATCCAAGGCACTGAATCTCAAAGTTGCACTGATTCGGGTACAGAAAGTTTCTAGATCTTTTTTAACCACTGCTATGCCGGATTTTATTTTCTTTCGCAAATTATTACCCTGTAAGTATATGGCAATAATCCAGCAAAAATCCTTTTCACAGATATGTTCCTCATATGTTCCTCCATCAAGTATTTTCTGTGTAACTCTTTCCATGCTGGGTACAGCGTGTGTGGCACGACTAGTCGGTAGATGGCGCTTCGTCTTATATATTTTATGTTTGGTCTGGTGTCGAGATAGCGGCGCTTCATCCTATTTATTAGTTTCGTTCTATATGTATGTTACTTTCGTTCTATAGCTATTAGTTTTGTCCTATATGTATTAATTTCATCATATATGTATTATTTCTGTTTGATTTTTTTGTACTAAGGAACTCATAAAGAGCGCCTCATAGTTGACGAAGGCTTTCTGGAGGGGCCAATCAAAACTGCTAGGTTATCACCGGCGGGAAGTGTGTATTTGGCATGGTATTTGGCCTTGTAGCATTCTCTGTTGGTGCGGGGAATAAACTAATTTGTTCCATTCTTTGTTGGTGTGTGGAATAGAAGTAGAAAGCCACACATACAGTTAATGGTTTGTTCTTCGTAGAGAAGAGCTAGTCAACCACATTCCATTCTTGGTTGGTGTGAGGAACGAGATAATTTTGCAAGTGAAGTAGAAGTTTCACAGGTGTGTTATGTCAACCAAGAGCTAGTGTACATGTACCAAGAGTCGAGAGCGATGTTGGTGTTCATAATGCTCAGGTGAACAGTGGTAAACACGGACTGACCCAGCTTTCTTGTGGTTACGTTTTATGTGATTGACCAGCAGCTGATGAAAACCACACATGCATTCAAATAGGCTCCACGTACTACCCATTGTACATGTACATCCTATTAGCATTTTAGTAAACCACACAGTAAATTGGGCAGCCTTGTGCGTGAGTTAGTCAGCAACACAGCGGGTTGTAGTTGTTCTAATCAGTCATATAGCAGATTTAATAAATCATAAAATGGTTCTACTTCAGTTCACATTCATTACCATTCAATTACTTTTGTTGCATGTACAACAAACCAGAATTATTTTGTATGTTCCGAAACTAGAGGTCCAGTCACATTCATTTGGTGAATTATTTTGCAGGTTAAGCAATCAATCCCTTCGGCGGTACATTTCCCCAAATGGGCCTACATCACTTTGCCTTGAGGCTGCTTTGTTAGTATCTTGTCCAAAGAAGACACAAATTCAGGAAATTTCGCCACAGTAAAAAAAAAAACACTCATGGGCAGCTCGGCCTTTTTTGTTTGCCGGTCATCTAGAATACGTCTAGAACACTGGTTGTGAGTTTGGCAGTGCCATAGGTTTGAGTCACCGGCCGTCCGAAAGGTTGAAGCTAGACCTAGTCAGCTTCAGTGTAGCACCCTCATAACTATTTAATTATCACCACGTAATAATTAAGTTAATTACTAAGATTTGAAGTGATGACTTAAGTGACCAATTATAAATCACAATGGATTCACCTATAAGAGGTTCTGTCACAATGCATGTATTATGACAGAACTCTTTATACTTGGTGGTACACAGAGCTATTGCTTTGCAAGGTTTGAAGAATCTTACTGTATTAGATATAGGCACATAGTCCTATGTGCACTGCCCTAGACAGCGGACACAGTTCCTAGCAGATGTTATACTTTTTGCACTCAGCCCAACTCTTTATGCAAAAGGTGGGATCACAAGCATGTATGCAGCTTTTCGTGGTTAGAAGAAGAATGCTGTAAAATCTGCACTGCCATATTCATGGTTCCAGAGAGCTGCCACAGATCCCCACAAATCTGCACCAGTTTGCATTCAACTGCCCCCCTTTTCTTGCAATTATGACAGTTTGAAAATTGAAGGTTTCACAAAAGGAGGATTCTGAAGAGGATTCTAGCACTAATTATTCATAAAGTGGGCCAATCAGAGTTACTGTGCACTAACTGGTAGCCAATCACAGTCCACTGTTTTAGCCAATCAGGCAAGGGGTCAGATTATTTCTGTAAGGCAATGCTATTTTAGGAGGGAAATTCTCATGTAAGGATCATTCTGTCACAGCTTGTTGGGCAAGCTGGGTCAATTTGCCCACCATCACCCCAGCACCTGCCTTTTTGAAGAATATTTAATTATAATGGCGTTTCTAACCCCTTTGCGCTGGGACGCGGCAAGACCCACCGTAAAAATTGAGATCCTCAACCCGCTTTTCAGCTATTATTCCCGGCCCACGCTCGAGCAAACACGGTGAAAGAAGGCAGACCCTGGCTCTTGTATATATGGTCATTGGCCTTTGTGTGTAGCCCAGAAATGAAAAGACCAAATTTGCATCATAATCACCAGCTTAACAATAGTCCCCACTTTGAAAAAAGGCAACAGGAATGTGGAAGTGTGAGTAGATCCGCATGCTACCGAACAATCAGCCTTTTCACCGTGTAATTCAAAGCGT